AAAGAGCAGTATTTATTCCATGCTGGTAGATCAAGACAAAGAGTAAATTTCTACCCTATGCACCTTCAAACAGGGAATGTATTGATGAGTAGAAAAAACTAGGCTTTGTACAAACTAAATAAAAAAATCCCCAAATCCTCACAGTCAGAGTGAATTAACCGGTGTCTCTTTTTTTGTATCATGGAAACAAAAGAATTCCTTTATCCTTTCATCAGTGTTTTTCATCACTGACCACTCCTGACAGTAAGACAAAGGTTTTCTCTTACTCTCTCCTCGTTCCTCTGTTAGATCGACAGGACAACTGCAGCACTATCACAAAATTTATCTTCAGACAGAACTTCTCCTTCGAGCTTGTTCCAAGTCTTCTTTGAGTCTTCCTTAGATCAACAAATCCACACAAGATTTCCTCGAAACGATGTTTCACTTTAATATCTCCAACCATCTCCAGGTCATATACACAAAACGTCGCAGAACAAAGCGTACATCGCTCAAACTCATCCATCGCCTCAGATACTGAAAGCTGCGCAGGTAGATCCAACCTCAACTGGGGGTCGCAACAGTGAACAGCTTGATTTTCTTCTCCTTTTCTAAGCAGCCACTTAGCTTTTAGGGTCTCTCATTAGTTTTGATAATGGAAACTGTCTGACTTTCACATCCATTCTCAGTGCACTTCAACATATCGGTGAATATGTACAGATGGTACAAGAAAGCATTGCAAGCATTTGAGAACCACGCATATACTGACTTTAGTTTTGGTAGAAGTTTTGCAGGACAAGCTCCAGATCAAGTCTGTCTTGTTTCTTCAAAAAATGCAGCAAATAATCTCTCCCCTCCATTATTCTCACCAAATAAGAGACTGGATATAAAGTGATCATCAATAAATGAACTTAATTAACAGTTTCAGATCTTGATCAATTTGGCAAGCCAATCACTCTAACATAACAAGTGTACTAACACAGACATGTTTTACCTGTCCCGTAACTGTAGTTTTTCATTTCACAACGTTCCCAGCAGAAATTTGGAATTAATGTTATTTGAAATGTTTTCTCTAGACTCTAGATAGTCTCAAAGCATTCTCGTGAATTGCCATGCAACTACAACTATAGGGTTTTTCTGTATAGTTTCTACAAAACAGAACTCCCAAAAGAGGCATTAACAGGAATATGAATTCCAGAGACCACACTACAGCGCAGCCCTAAGTACCAGTCACTCTTCCCCCTACCAGTTCCTGACAAATTTATTGAGATTGGCTGAAATTGAACACCAAACACAGCTAAACACATAGTACAAAGAAATGAATTGAGGAAAATGAAACCACACTGCCCTCTGCTTTTGATGGAGTGGGTTGCCCAGCTCAACAAGTGGAAGAGACATTGCCTTACAGTAGGAGTGGGCCTTGACACAAGGTGTGCACTTCAGGTCCCCAGGCTTCCTTGCACCACCTCAAAATCTCTGGACAGAGGCATGATGAAGCATAAGCCCACTTCCCATTTCATTGGTTCCAACCCAAGACCTGTATAAAGTAGGGTCACCAAAGAGGTAGATGGAAGCCCCTTAATTGTGGCATCTGATCCTTCAGGAACCAAATCCCTTTCTTTCCACAACTAACACATTGGCCAGAAAAAGGATGAAGATTGCAGGTCTGCTGTTAAATTCCTGGCTTTTGACCACTGCCTAAGGCACCCCATGTCATAAAAACCTTGCTAGACTGGAGAGTCCCTAAGACTACATACTCCGACAACACAATACGTCAGAACCACGGGAGCTGCAAACAAGGCCTGGCTTGCAGTGGCACACAGTTTAGTTTTATGTGAACATTAAACCCAGATCTGTACTGTTAACCAGGTTCCATTCCTTAAAGCATCAGGTTCCTAGTCTTGTAGCACCCATTATTTCGTGGGCTGCACCTCAAGGCATGTTTGTGTTGGGAGTAAAAATACTGGACAAGACTGGCAAGTCATAGCCCTGCCCCAGAGCCTGAATCCATTTTCTAACTAATCCTTTCAGCCTACAGAAAAAAAGAACATCTGTTTTTAAACATACGTATACATTGTCATTAATAACTTGACCATAACGCAACATTCAATCCACTGCATTTTCGTCTAAATTGCACAAAGGCAAACTTTTTACTTTAGTGTTGAATGAGAGGTGCTCACAATTTAAAAATATCTAATTAATATTTGCTGTAGATTTTCTGCCAGTGCTAGGCAGGGAAGTGTAACAAAACAGAAGATTTTTTAATTATAGCAATTGAGAATCAAAAAAACCCAGATGAAAATTAACATTCAGCTCTCCTGTTAACAGATAGGAGATGCTTTCCTGCAGCAGTGTTGTTAGGACAGTTGTTAACAGCATTGTTAACAAAAAGTTAAGAAATTAAAATGAGTATATATTGTGTACGTTCCCCTGTGCCCAGCATTGCCACAGTGGTTAAACTGCTATTACTGAAGATGACTAAAAAGTTAGACAGCAGAAAACACGACAGGGTTTCCCCCTTTATACTGAAGGCCATGTTTCTCAGGTATGCAATGGCACAATTTATTCAAGTTAGAACAAGGATGTAGTCAACTTCAAACGACCCGCTTTGTCTTTATAGTGTGTGCGTAACCTCACACAAGCTAGTAAAAGTGGTCTGTATTACAGTATGAAATTCTTTGGCAAGATTAAGGGGAACTTAAAAACACAACCAAAACCATACAACTGCAAACACTATTAGTGTATGTAAGTGTTTTAGATAGAAGTATATCAAAGACAGCCAGGATCCTAAACACTTAAAAAAAAAATAACTTGAGCAGATAATCCTTGACCAATATTACTATGAAAGGAGAGCACAACTATCTAAAAAGGAGGAAAATTCAAAGCTCTTTTAGAAGCGTTATGGTCCTCTACAAGCATGAGCTTTTTATAAGATATAGTGCATGTCCCATGTATTCATAGATTATAAATAAAGGAATATTAGGAAACTTTTGAAGGGTTCATGTTCCAGAAGATACCAACTCCTCTGCTTTCAGAAACATAACCTTTCTACTCTACTAGCAGTGTTAATGCGCCATTCTCCAAGCTCAGTCTGGGAATTCAAGCTATTACATTCCAAACCACCGCACCTCCTTCGTATGTGTATATCAACAATGCTGTGACTGCAACTACTACGTATATACGATGCTGAATTTAAGCCTGGCACATCTGGACACAAAAGCCAACGGTCTTCCCAGACACATTTCTCTAGTATCCTCCCCTACACATTCTTCAGCCTCCCTGAAAGAGCTCTGAACTATCAACACCAAAAGTAAGAAAACAGAAAGCAGAAGGATGGGGAAAAAGTTACAAAAGCAAGCAAGATTATCAAAACCATTCAAACTAAAAAACAAAAGGCTTCCTTATTCCTGCAATTCACATACTTAAACGCAAATATGGCAACTCAAATGCTCAAATTATTCTAGTTTCCTTACATATCAAACTATCAGAACACAGAATGGCAGGTTTCATTCCTGAGAACCAGATGTATGCCCCAATTATTTCCCACTTTTTGGAGTCAATCTTGTTCTTTTGACAGCTAAACTCTGAAAACAACGTCTGAAGTTATTTTTATTGCAATTGCATCTCCCTTCCCTTGTAAGGTTCTGCAATTTCAGTAAGGTACAATAATACCAACATTTCTCATGCTTGAAAAGGCCAAGTTGTCTGGAGCTTTCTGTTTATCTACAATAAGATACCACAATCATTTGCGGGTTCTCTGGAAAGCTGTTTGCTTAGTAACCATTGAAATTGTTGGTTTTTAATGATACTTAACTAAACAGACTGGGAGACAACCAGTAGAACTGGCAGAATGCACTAAAGGAGGCCACTTGCCACCATATCTGTGCTTTCATGTCCTCCACTGCATGCCCTCAAAAGAGATTAAACACCTACGTCCAATATCAAAACTGTAACCACCAGTTTGAAGGTCCCAGAGAAACAAAAAAAAATTTTCCTTTCTGTTCACCTATTTTATTCTTTCTCTTAGATATACCATTTTTTGTTAGAATAATCATTAAGTGCAGGTCTCAAGAATAATTAACAGGAGAGAACAGATGAGAGTGGAACCTCAGCCAGAAGGGAGACTCTCAGGTCTGACTCATCTGTGCTTCTGAGCAGCCTCTGCCAGACAGTTGCAAATACTTATTTTTTCTTTAAGGAACAATATCATTGAGGCAATAAAAGTCTTAAGGCTGTTTTGGTTACAAACACTGGACTGCAAAAGAGTAGCCAGAGAAATGATTATTCCCACTCCCTGAGACTCAGGACACTGCATCTGGAATATTGTATCCCATTTTGAACTCCCCAGTACTGGATATATTGACAAACCGGAGTGAGCCCAGCAGCCTGCCACAGCAATGCTGATGACACCGGAGCACGTGCAGTACAAGGGAAGTTGAGGGACCTGGATTTGTTCAGCCTGGAGAAAAGAAGGCTGAAGGCGGTGACCCTACTGCTGTCTACAGCTACCTAATGGGAGGGTATAGAGGAGATGGAGTCAGGCTCTTCTTAGATGTGCACAGTGATAAAGCAAGAGGCAGCAGACAAGCTGCAAAAAGGGAAATTCTGACCTGATATAGGAAAAAAATTCACAACAAAAGGTAATTAAACATTGGAACACAGGCCCAGAGAGGCAATAGAATCTCCATCCTAAGAGATTCTGAAATGCCAATTGTGCCAGGCCTTAAGCAACCACATCTCACTTTAACACTATGCCAGCTTTGAGCAGGAGTTTAGATGACCTCCAAAAATTCCAGACAACCAAGATTTTTCTACAACCCCATAATACTTTTGTAACAAACAGAAGATCCTTTCTTAGTCTCAATGCCAAGTTCCACACTGAAGTCCTATTACCTGGAAAGCAAATCTAAAGTGACAACTACTAGATTAATGACAAATACTCACCACCATATTGTAGGCATCAGGAACTTCAATTTCAAACTGAAACTTTCCACCTTGGTAATAGCCCTCATCTAGCAAAGAAAAAACAACAACAATAGTTAACTAAGAGAAAATAATGCATGCCACATAATACAAAATACTTGTCATTACAAACAAAGTAACAGCACGGGATTACCATCAAATACTTAACCTAGTTACACCACAACCCTAGCTGCATCCCAGTCCAAAGAGAGTGTGAACATAGTGTCTTTCCCCACTCCCAAAACCTTTATAGCAGAAATTGATTTAAGTCAGAAGAGTCAACAGTCCCAGAGTGACCCTGGAAAAAAACACATTCCTGATCAGAGTATCAGGCAATACCAAGCCAGATGAACCTTTGATTGAACTTTTCTTGTCTGTATAAACAAAATTCTGCAACACATCAGCCATATGGCATGCAGTACCACAACACCGACCCTTGGAATGAGCTGGATACATAGCTCACTTGCTAATGCATGCTAAATCCTGGAGCAGGATTTAGCATATCTTCCCAGACTTGTGCTAGCAATCACATATCGTGACTAGTATGAATAATGGCGTGCAAGAGCATGCTTCAGTGTACTACAATAAAACAGCAAGTTAGGTCTTCTGTTGTAATTATCTTAGGATGATATATCAGTTAGGAAAATCTGCCTGCCTCTCTGTCATCCTCAGACTCAATACTGAATTATTAAAATGGCTAAATTTTAAAATATGAAATCTGAAAATATCTAGTTGCATTTAACCAGAGATAATATAATACGATAATAGTCAGCCTGCAACTCTTGAGATGGCTGTGCTTGGAAGCTGAAATGCTTACAAGTGATCTGAAACATGTCTGTCTGGCATTGACATTATTGAGTTTTTTCATTAAGAAAGGAAAACAGACAGGTACTCAAGCCCACACTGGGGGTTTGGGACACCTGAGGAATGCTCAGGCTCAAGCTACCTCAAGTACTCTAGCTCTCTGTATCACACAGTATAGCCATGGTGAAGGCTTGAAGGTCAGAAAGGCTGGTTATTGTATGAAACGGGGTTTTTTTTATATTTTTTTAAACCAACATTGCAAAGGAAAGTTCTGTGAAACAATCCATAGTTTACAGAAAGATTAAGAAGAGTTTTCTTATTATCTAGCTTGTTCCAAACCACAAAAAGCTAGCTCCTCTACTATAGGTCATCAAAATCCTCTTTCAGGATGCTGTCTTCTGAACCTGCTGCCTTCCCAGGCCTAGCACAACCTTCTATTTTCTCCTAACAACCAATGCACCACATCCACTTGCTCAGGTTTCACTCCATGCTACAATCTCACCACTATCAGCACAAGCCTGTAGCTTCCACACTGTAACTGCCATAATCACAAGAGAGCAGTCAGCTCCTACCCTCCTCCTCCTTGCAATCTCTTAGCTGACTTACTGAAAAGGAGAGGGCATCACCCTGCTAAATAACACAAACCCTTGGTTGTAGAAGTGAGCCAGCAACAGCTGATGCTGCCAAAGACAAGACTCAACTGCACACTACGGCCAGCACACCACTCCAAAAGGCCTGTGCCTGCAGAGTTGCAAAGGAGTTGCTGGGAAGTACATCATGGTCTAGCTTCTCCCAAGAGTCTGTGTAGACCACTGACAGGTTCAGCACATGAACAGCATCAAAAATTTTGGACTGCAACAGCAGCAGAGGCACGGAATATGAAAACAGAACACGGCTGGTCTTCCCCACCCCATGCAGTAATGTTTATAGCTGCCTCCACACTGAACTGTGCAGCACAAAGCTGCAAGCCTTAGCCATTGCAAATCTCATTTTAATAACCTGTCGAAAACACATGCTTTTCAAATACATTCTGCATTTCCATTCCAATTCAATTTTGAAGTGTGTTTGATTTATTAAGCAGTCTTCTCAGGCACGCTACGCTTTACCAGAAAGTAAATGCACATGCACTAATTTTTATGGGGAAAAAAGCAAGATAAAAGCATTCCTCTTTTGTTTTCAAATATATTGAGATAAAAAAATCAGTAAAGCAAGCCATTTCTACAGATTGAGATGCAAAAGATGAGTTATACCAATATCTTTTTGATGAAACTGCTCCCTGTCAAATGTGCAAAACACTCAAAGCAAGACACAGACTGTTCCAGAAAGCAATGGTTAGGAAAATGGTCCAATATCCCCCTGGGAGCGCAAACAGCTCAAGCACCACCAGGTTATGCTACAGGACACAGCTAACTCTACTTTATCCACCATCTAGCACGTTATAACAGCTTTTTAACAGAGTCTCATGAATCCTCACAACTTCCATGTATGATACCATGCCTTGTACAAAACATGCTCAAAAGAATCAGACACACAGGTCTTTCAGTGATCGTACCAAAACAAGCAACACCATACAGGAATTCAGCATTTGTTATAGTGCAAGCCATGTACCTCAAAGCCTTCCACAGGCCTCCCCACTGCCCTCTGGCTTACGAGCACTTACCAAGCCATCACTTCCTAATATAAGCAATCACATGAAATGCCCACATGCATTTGTGCAGGGAGATGCCTGCTGCCAGTAGAGCAAGGTAAAGGAAAAACACCAACACTGATAAGGTTGCTCAGGAAGTCCAGCAGCAGAAAGTTATTTTCCTTGGCTTAAATTCAATAGTTCCTTGATTTCATGGACTTGGAGCAAACTGTGCAGCAGCTCTTCGTATTCCACCCCTGCTGATGTGAAACCGAAACGGCTCCAAGGGAGGAGAGCTTGCCAGAAGACTGTCAAATTCCTGCCAGTCAAGCAGCAGGAGAAAAGCCACGCTCCACACCTCTCCGCACACTGAAAACACCAGGCCCACAGACCCTGCAGTGCGCAGGAACATTATGGCAGGCCCTGAACTCCAAGCACAGACAGCAAGATCACTCTGACATTGCTCAAGAGATGCACAGGGCAGGGGTGGAAAGGCCGAACAGTTGTTCACTTTCTCTGCTCTTCCTCACCACGCAGACCTAGCTCAGGATAGCTCCACTTCCACCCAGCCATGGGAGAAACTCCTAGTGTCCACATGCAGGATGAAATCAGACAAGGCGAGCTCAGCTGAAGGGGGCAAACCCTTTCTTACTATATAAAACCACCACGGCAAAAAGACTGCAGAGTTTCCTGCAGGATTAGAGATGAACTGGTGTGCAGAGGGGTTAAACTACCACCAGTGTCAGCAGAAGAGAAGTAACAGGACCAAACAGTGAAAGAACACCCCTTTTTCTCTGCAAAAACATTTTAGATTAGCTCAAGAACTTTCTAACCACATATTAACACCTCCACAGGACATTAAGAGATTCCTCATGTGTTACTTCCATTTTCTTTTATTTCTTTCTTTTATATTCTACATAAGGCCGAGAAATCTCTGGAGCACTTCAGACATTGTACCTCGCGCTGCAGGTCACTTCCACATACTGACGATTGAGTCTCCCTCAAAGATAAAACAATATCATCACTGTCTTGCATTACAATTTCTCATTTTATGTTTCAGGTTTACCTTGGCATCAGTCCATGCTAGCAGTAACCAGAAAGTGCACTGGGTACCCTACTGGTTCTGTTATAAAATAAGCAAGGACATATTTACCAAATCAGAACAGTAAAGCATCTCTCCTCCACCTTTTTTTTTTTTTTTTACAATTCTCCCTGTATGTTCGTAATTATTTTCACTAAGCAACAATAAAGCATGCTACTCATTATCACTCACTCAAACGTATATTAAAAATTCATGTCTCTGGAAGGCCTCAGTACCCAGTCAGAGATCTTGCAATGCATTAACAAGATAAACCGTTATGATGAAGTCACCTTACAGCATCCCAAGAAAGTAAACAGGTTCTCCCACATGGTAGTTTCCTTCCCTGTGTCCCACAACACCCATACAGACTGAGACAAAGACCCTCAATATTTTTTAGGCATGTAACAGTGGTGAGAAAAACTGAAGTTCTGACAAAGTTAATAGTGAGGAAAGTACTATAAATAAAACAGTCAAAATAGCTTTAGCACATAACTTAGGAAATTGGCCACTGACAAGACTTTTGCAAAAACGGAATATATCTAAGCTCCCGTTTTCCTCCTACTGCTTAAATTTGTGTCTTCAAGCATCCCTCCCACTTAAGTCTCAAGTTTCATTATCAGCAACCTGACTCTAATCTTAGTTTGCATTTGTAAGATGTTTTGATGGCTGAAAGTGCTGTGAAAATACTAAACTAAATTATTTTATTGCTTTAAAAGAAAATGCAAGATAATTAGGACAGGCCATAAAGGATATGCTTTTGATAGTAGCTCCTTGAATCAGCAGCGTTGAAATGCTCAGCCACGCTCACCAACATTTGTCATTTTATGGCATGCAAAACAGAAAACAGGCTCTTTATTAATTCCCTGAAGAACGGGACTCTCAAATAATCACACTAACCCCAAACTACCCTAAATGCCTGGGAGCTGCAGGAAAATTACGTTAACTCTACATATTCCGCTAGTTTTCTTCATGTGCAAGCTACCTAAACTCACCTTTTTTTTTTTCCAGGTCATTACCATGTTTTAGCCTCAGCTTCCAATTTTGTGCTCCAAATACCAGTGCAGCAGGCAGGACTCTGCCCGCATTATAAGCGCCTATCTCCTTATTTTTCCTAGCTTTTGATCCAATAAGGTACGGGCACAAAAATAAGAAGAGAGGCAATTGGTGGCATGAGGGCATTTTTCAATGACAGAACGATTGTTTTAGATGACAAAAGGAAAAAGAAGCTTCAGACAGCAGAGAAAGCCAGCAGTTGTCTGCCTCAGGAACACACAGTTTGTCCATTGCGGCAGTAAAATCTGATCTTATCCATTTTCTAGCACGTGCTACTATATATCCACTCATGGTACGCTGCAAAAAACTATAGCAAAGGAATCAGAATTTCTTGAGGACAAGTAACTTTAAGTGAAATCAGCCGTCACCCTCATCAAGATTTTCTACAAATTCATTTTAATTTAAAACTCACTGTCACCAGGATAATTTTGTGATGTTAAATGCATACTAAGAAAGGTTATTATGAGAAGTGCAGAGCAAGGGAGCTGAAAGTATTTCTGCTTGGTGGTAAAGTTTTTTTTCCTTATTCAAATTAGTCTTTTTGTGAGAACCTAAAGAAGCTTCTTTCACTATCCTTTCAAGACCAGCCACATTCAAAATGACTGCGTAAAACAAACCACCCGAGAACAAGCTTTGTCAACAACACAAGGCTAGAACATTGACCGCAAAAGGCATTTCTGTGTTAAAAAACATGTTGAATCAGTACCTTCATGGTACTCTGACAGCCAGTTACTTGCAGAAACTGTCTTGGTGTAAGATTCCTTATAAAACATGGTTACAAAATTCAAGCTCTAGCATTAACCAGAATATAAGGGAAATAAAACATAAAATATGAATATAAAATAATTAGCACCCCGTAACAGATCTGTCACAGAAGGATGCAACCTCTGTAACTGCAGATAAGCAAACTGAGAACCCTAAAAAGTGAGCCAGCAAGAACCTCTTCACTGTGCAGACTACCAACCCTGGCTTATGCACACTTACTGTATAGGTCCTAACAGTGAGAACTGCAAGGTGGCATTAGATATTCCTTGGCACCCGTAGCTGTGCTGAGCCCTTGTTCCACAATTGGAAAGCTGCAGAGATATTTGCAAAGCACTCCCTTAAGAGCCAGATGTATGAGCAGGATTTCTAGAGTAACTCAGCTCCTCAGTGCAAGAGACAGTTCCAGGCAGAAGGAAAACTAGCTCTTACTCCAGACTGTCAAGATCCATGCAACATTGTTTAGACACTGCAAAAACAGTTGCCTCAAGCAAAGATTTTGTCCCATTTGAGCCAGAAAAACTCTGTGGCAGCCATTTAGCTGCCTCGCTGCTATTCTAAAGAACACTAAGATTTAGCATACTCTAAAGAAAAACCTCAATAATGAAGGGAATCAGAAAGCTACAAAGATTTTTTGTTTTGGCATGTGTTACATTCTGCCTTTAGAGAGCTGTGCTAAGCTGCAGCTGATCACAAGATTCTGTACCTGAATTATGCACAGCTGAAAATAGATGTTTACTTCAGTCAGACTGCTACTGCAGAGACTTCAGCTGTGCAGCTATATTTAGAGTAACAAAATGTTAATTAAGATCATCTCATTCCCAAGATCATTTCAGCAATGAAGCTAGCACAAAAACCATGCTCTGCACTCAACGACCGTCTTCTGACTGCAACATCTTGCTGCACAGCAGTTAACAGACAAAAAAATGACTAAGTATTTAGGCACCTTCGAATTAGTGTGAAGAAGCTATCATTGCTTCATATTCCAGACATCCCTAACTCACATGGTGATGATATTGTAAAGTCAACTCATTTCCAAAATATAATAAAGCAATATCATATAAACTGAAGGACATTTGGTTCAAGCAGACTAACACTCACCAAGTAAACACGAATACATCTCCCACACAGAACCAGAGGTTAAAAGTTCTATAATAGCACTTGCATTTATTTTTGATTACACTGACTTGGGCAGTCTTACTCATTTTTCCCATCACAAAAAGGAGTCACATGAATGGACACGTTAACAAAGACCACCCAAGATTTCTACAGCTGAGGAAGTGCTAGTTGATTTTGGCTAATAAGCAGCAACAGCGACATCTAGCGCCCGTTTGACTTCAGATACTGGATTATCAGAAAAATTCCTGTCACCCTGTTAAGTGGAAACTTTTATTTGCATAGGTAAGACATCAGGATGACTGCCATACTGCATCCGAATGCTGTTGTCGATAAGCATCTACAGAAAACGTAGGTCTACAAGAATTAGCTGGCAGGAAGATCCTGATCCCAGCACGTCTAACTCAAACAATTCAGTGTACTGAACACATTGACGTTCTCATTTAAATAGTTGCGCAGAGTCTCAGAGGTAACACACAGCAAAAATAAGAAGCGCGTATGAAATTTAAATAATCTTCCATGCAGATTCATCCATAAAACACAAACACAACTTCTCTTCTAAAATGGATAGTCATGAGAGCAAATTCTGCCATTTCAGATGGCTATTAAGAAACTTATATTGAAATGATAAATTCTGAAAATGTAGTCCTGAGGTTTTGTTTCATTGAACAGTATGACAGTGGAAGCTTCACAGCATATTTACATTAGCTTTATTAATAATAAAAGATGTAATTTCCACATACTTGAATATTCAAAGACTAAGAGACTTATTGTTAAGCGTCTTCAGACACGCAGAGATTTCAAGTTTTCCATAATGTTACATCTGTCATCCACCTTTTCAACTCCGCAGACTCAAGCAATCAGTAGAAAAGAATAACATGCAACAGGGCTGTAATAGAGTAATTTCTCTAGACATAGTCCAAGATTTTTCTCAGCAAATAAAACACAGTGGTTTGAAATTGGCTGAGAGAAAAAAATGTTAAAGTGAGCAAACAAGACCTGAATACTTCCTAATCCTGCTCGATTTTGATGGCCTTTTTATTGGAATCGAGTTCTCAAAATCCAGCCCAATTTCTCCATTGTCTCTATAAAATAATCACTGTATTACAGCCAGTCTTTCTTTGACTAAAAAGCTTATTGGATTCTTGAGTAAACTCTTGGAATTACTTTTCCTGAACACCAACACACACAGAAGCAAGAGTAACATGTTTAAAAAAATTACCTGGGATTACAGTTAACTGAAAGTAATGAAGCTTGTTTGGGTCGGGAAAATTCACTTTACATGTACCTGCGAAGCAAAGGAATAATTTACATCAGACAATTGTTTTTCCCACTGTTGGGAAAGCAAGTATATCATCTTTCATGCTCTCCAAATTGACTCTCTGATTAATCCTTCCAGTCAAGTGATTTCCTCCTATACTTTGTCTCTAAGCACCTCTTCCCTATATAGTTACAGGTCACCTGCAGTAAAGGAACTTCACTTCTTTGAGCTGCGAGGAAGCTTATTTCCTTTCAGTAAACAATGCTGTCTCAAAGACCTTAAAATGCCAAAGGATTTGGTCTTCTGTATATATACTAGCTACATGTTAAGATGACAGCATACATAATAAGCACCTCTTCCTTACAAGTTCTTTAATGGTAACGTGTGTATCTTGATATTTGATCATACACTGCAGTCTGGAAGAAGTCGTGCCACCGCAGCCCTATGCTAACGAAGGATTATTTATACCTGTAAGGTATAATGAGATAGAAGCTTCACTGAAAACCTCATCCAAAAGCCAGTGAGGTCTCCGTTCAGCTGTCATATTGAACAAGTTTCTTCTGCGTAACCAGTTACACATATTAACAGCAAAGGTTATGGAGCATCATTACAAACCAAACATTATGTTTTTATTCTCAGACTAGATGAATTTAAGGAGAACAGTGAGAATGAAGAACAAGTTTGGGGAAAAAAAAAAGGTAAAACATCAGTCTGGTAAAACCAGTCAGTGGTTTCAGTTCAACAGATGCAAGTTCACAGCATAACAGCCCTTTGTTCACATTTGATGACACAAACTAAGTTGCCTGCCCATGCACAAAACTGGACTCTCTTGACTATGGCAGAGACAAGCTGTCAAGCTGGCACGAGAAGATGCATATATCCACAGATGCATTACTATCCATGCTATGCAGCCTTTAGCTTCTTAATCCCTCAAGTTGGCTGTTCTTTTACTATTTAGTTCTTTGACTACAGAATCAGAGATATAGACCCTATTTGCCTGAAAAGGTAACTAGAACTGTAACACAAACCCTAATAATGCATTTTTATTGTAGTAACTACAAACTCCAATACACGTTTCTCAGGTGTTTGTTATTCTATAGAAGAGTCTACACAAAAAAGTTTAACAGAAGTTAAAATTACTCTGTGTAAAATCTCTATAATTGCCTTTAAGAAAGAAGAGCCTACAGAAAGGAAGAGTTAAATAATGCCTCTTCCTGCCCTCCCTTTTTGCTGCTTCTGTTCTGTATTTTCCCCCCCATCAAGCAGTCTGTACACTGAAAAGCCTGATTTTTGAGCTCTGAGCATTGATCTGGATTTAGAATCGTTAGCAAATAGAAGATGCTCATCAGAAGCAGCACTCAGAAGTTTAACCTGGAGAGAAAAAAATATGGTCAAAGCTCCCCTTAGATGGGGAAAGACTAGAAACATCACGAGCTACCTGCCAGTGTAATCAGAGAGAATATTCACTGCTTTTTCTTTGTAAGATAAGTGTATGGGCAAGACAGTGTAAACGCACAGCACAGTAATAACCTGCATGTATACTCTTGGTCTGCTGCAAGCAGCTCACGCCTCTTTCCCTGCAGGGAAAACATCTTACATTACTCTGAAACAGGAATGTCCACCACAGGAAGTCATGCAGAGCAAGTGATGGGCTCTGAATGTACCTCTGAGCTTCCCAGGCAATAACTTGTTGTGCTTGCCTGTCGTCCAAGAACTCATGGCAGAATGATGCTGTTCTGGTCAACACTTGAAGGGAAAAGGAGCTCAGCAACAACTCAGCTTCGCTGTCAACACCCACCCTCAGCAACAAACACAGAGCAGTAGGAACTTCACTCCCCTTTATAAAAGGGTTTTGTGTTTTGCTGTCCATTACAGAACTAGGCTTTCTAAAGCTAAACAGCAGAAAATATTATTTGACTTAACTATCTATCCTCAGCTTTAGAAGCAACAAGCCACTTACCCTGTGCTCTTAAAAGCCTATTTTAAAGTGGCCATTAATATTTTCAGCTTTTAACATAGCACACAAGTCAGATTCCAGGGCTAAAACCACATTATCTTGCCCTTTTTTTAAGGAATATGGATTACTTCTTTAAAAAAAAAAACTTTTCATTAGTATTTTCACTATTAACAAACCCATCAGCTTACAGCTTGCATGTGAAGTGAAAAAGCACTAGGTTTCTGGAGAACTGAGCTATTTGGTCTGCCCCTAAAACAGCATCTCCTGTTTTGAAAGTGAGAGAATGGAAGAAAAACAGGAGTGAGGCAGTAAATGCACTCTTTGGTTCCAGGTACCTTTTGGGTATTTTACAAGAGAAGCTCCCACTCCACCACCAATCAAATTCTAGAGCCAAATGATCAATACTGCTTCCAAAGGACACTAATAAGGGATCCACCTCTCTGCAACACCTTAAGAGGGAGCAACAAAAGAAAACCTGTTCCCTACAGTTAACAAATATCATCAGCATTCATACTTCAGTCAAAACATTTAGTTCAATGGCCCTTTTCCCCTTAAAATGCATACCATTAAATGCTATACTTACAAGGTAAATTAGCTTCAAGTTCTGCAACCTCTGTTGAAAGAAAAAAAAATAGTTATTTATGCAAGCATAAAGCCATTCTTGAAGTCCAAATTGGCAGATATAATTTAAACCATCCTGTAAATCAAATTTCACTTAAATGTAATTATGCTGCACTGGAGGTTTATCTTGAAATTTCTCTTTAAGCCATGCAATTCATTACTAAAAATGCTCAGCTGCCTTACCAACAATGCAAACATATCCTACTGCGATTAGGAGGTTCAGCTCTGCCAAGACTGAAGCGCCAGGGCTTCTAATACACAGAGCGGTGGCATTTCAAAAGGTGGCATTATATAAACCTCCAAAGTTGTCTACATAAAGCACTAAAATACAGAAAGCCATAACTCTACAGCTTGCAAAACACAAGAACAGGAAAACCTCAAGAATCGGGGTGTCAGTCCAATAATAAAAACAAGCACAGGAGGTTCACAGCCTGCATAAGCATCACCACTCTCCAGCATCTAACTGCTAATGTTCCTCCACCATCAGCTACAGGCTCCCTCAGGTTACGCACTGCTTTTGGGGAGAAGCCTCCGAGCACAATACCACATACTGCATGCTTGGAAACAGCATGTCATACTAGATGTTCTGCGTGCAGAAGCCAGCATTAAGAGCACTGAAAGAACAGAGAAAGACAAACCTTCACTTCAAGCGCCCGGCACAGCAATGTGCACAGGGAAGTGATAAAAACAACTGCATCCATTGCACTACTCCCTCCCCCTCAAAACCTCTGCACTGTTGAACAAACTCAGAGTGTTAAGATTTTTTTCTCCTGTCCCTATTGGATATTTCCCCCTGGAGCAGTTTGCTATAGATATGCACTCTTGTTCAATTAAGACTTCTTTTTATTTATTGTATTTCCCATGCATAAAACTTAAGTTATTCATAAAAGAAAGGAAGATAAGCTAATTCAGTTGCATAGCTCCTAGGAACGTAAGTTTACTCCTAAGTCCTTTCCCTGCCATGCTACTTTCTCTGGAAGATCCTCTGCTTTCTCCTTCTTTTGTGTATTTTATTGAAGTCTTACCTTCAACTACCTGTATTTCACAGAAGTACGAATGAGATGCATCAAGATCCCTTTTACTTCTAAAGTTCAAGGAAACCTAATCAAACGTATTTTTGCATTTCCTGTAGTGTTTTTCTCCACTTGATTTCTAACTTCGCTTTCTGGTCTGCACAGACGCAGCTCATTTATTTGGGCTAACAACAACGTGTAAGGGATTTCAACACCAACTCTCAAAAACATACGTCTAAAGAAAACTGTAATTCAGTTTAAGACATGGGGAGCGATTTCTTGGCACAGAATCCAAACTGATATCATCACAATTAAGAGCTCACTAACTCCCCAGAACTTTTCTTGCACCCATGCTTACCAAACCTAGCTGGTGTCTGCAACGAGCATGATGCTTATTTGACTCCCACCTTCCATTTGCTTGGCACAGCCCTGGTATCCCTCCATCTGCAGCCTACTATACCAAGAGAGAAAACACCACCAAAACAGAAGCACTGTTTTTCACACTTTCCTAAAAAGTTCACAATTGCACTCTTTAAAATCCCACACTCTGCAGCACTCGAGCAGCCACAGCTGATTTAACCAAAGTTGTGCACTGAAAGACACACGACACTGGGGGCATACTTTTGCTAGAAGTTTTCGAAGAGGACTGTCTTTATAATATACAAAAAATGTAATTTCAGCTATAATTAAGTACTTTATTTTTATTTTCCTTTTCTGGTTAAAAAAAAGACGAGACATAACCAGCTACTGAAGGCTGCAGCTATACAAGCCCATCGTAAGAGTATTCCGCCACCCCTTTCTCTTTAAACTCACCAGCCTTTCATAGTGGCAGGCACTATCAGTCTCCACTAGACGGCAGAGTTTAGGACCTGGCTTATTTTAAGGTGTTGACTGCCTGCCTTATTGCTTTCTGTGCTTGTGTGTTGTTCAGCTTAATGAATCCTGCCTGCCCTTTGCTTCAATTCTGAGAAAAGGGCAGGCAGAGAAAAGAGAGACACCAAAGGACAGAGCATGTTCAAACCCAGCAATGGCCAGGCTGCAGCAGCACTGCTGAGCCGGAGTCTCACTTCTGCCTCCTGCAAGGTTCAGTAGAGTTTACTGATCACCATAGCTCCTTTGAAGTGTGAAAAATTTCCTGTAATGCATTCACGCTTCTGTGTTTCCCTTTGTCTTGGCACAAGAACGAGCAGATTTTTCTGTGAAAACATGAAAACTAAGATGCTCACACCCATGAGTACAGAACCAGTGCTCGCTCTTTGAAGGTGTGCAAACATACGGGAAGGCTATGGTAGCTAATCCACACAAAAGCTTTGTAAACAAAGGCAAGTTCCCCAAAATTAAGGTTTCTAATCAACTCTGCAACAAACCACTGAAACTAAGAACAAAACAACTTTTTATAAAGATAAAAAAAAGCAGGTAAAGACCTGCTTCGATACTCTCCACTTTTAAAGTAACATCAAGTAATGAAACAGATGTTACTATCAACTGTGCGATATAAACATTGGTGATTAACAACAACTAGCACATTTAATGGGCCAAACCTACAGCATCTGTGAGTCTTCTGAATTCTAAGACTCTTTGGTAGTGACAGTCTTGACATGGAAATAATTTTTGTATTTTGCTGCTCAGAAAGCAAACATTTTGACCATGTCATTGCAACTCCATTAAGATTCTGATATTTTAAGTTACGTATTTTCTACATAAAGCAATACCACTGACAAGAATGTTCTCCGTAAGAAAATGCTCCTGTGCAGTCTGCCAACTTATTGGCATGGTTTAACAGATTTGTAAATAAGCAAAATGTAGAAGCAGCAATTAAAGCTCCAATGCACTGAGCTTCCAAGAGCTCCAAAAGCCTCACTAAATTAAAGAACAAACTTAATCTCACAATCTTTCTGACCTCCTCTTTCAAAAAATGACTGTAACTACAGCTGAACAGTATAGAAAATCCAATTTGACTGCTTTTCATAATGTTTTGTGGATAATCAGTATCTGTGTCTCAATTCACAGCCAGGTACCTCATCATTCCTTAAGACGCAGAGACAAACAACTGGATAACCCACGTCTCAGGAAATATTTTGCAAAAGCACTCCAGAACTTCCATGGGAAACCAGTGCTCCTCACTGCCTGCTCAGTGCTGGCTTCGCAGAGGTACAGAAACACTGCAGCCCATCTGAATTCCTCTCGCAGTCAAGAGCACTGATTGCCAAGAAGCAGCAAACCCAGGAGCACTGCAAGGCCCTGCGCCCATGCTGATAAGCCCTCCCGGGTAGGTCCAAAAGGCTGTAGTGTAAGTGCAGACACATGCCAGAGCTTCTGCAGGCAACAAACTCTGGTGCGTTCAGCCCAGACCCAGACTAGCTCCCGACCAGCCAGTCTGGTGTTCCTGAAACCTTATTTTATCTGGTGCAGGAGTACACCCAAGTGGCAGGTATATTTGCAGAGTTCTGCTCTTGACCCAGTATACACTTGCTTGAACAGTTCCAAATGCTATTTTAAACCATAAAAAGAGTAAAAAGGCAAGGGTTAAAACTTCAACCTGCCACAGACTTTGGAAGAGTTGAATGCAAACTGGTTGTGTCTCAGAAGCAGAACAGGGGAAAGCTAAGCCTAACACTAGCAACCAGAGCTATTTATAAATTATTTCACAAACAATAACTCTCCCTACCCATGACAATTCTCAGGACACAAATAGGAACACACGCTCCTGACGTGTGTACAGGCATATGGTTTATGAGAGACCCACGTGAATGTTATATTCAGTAACGCACAGACTATAATCACGCTGTTCTGCTCCCTCCCCTTCCCCCACCCCAACAAGTCAGAATATAGAAGTGCTTTGTTTACTAGCCTTGCCACAAAAAGTCAGACCATATGCTTCCCCCTGGAGTTAGTTTTTAAGTACAAAAAATGAAAGCATTATTTCCTCAACTGAAATGAATGTTCTCATCCACAACAACACTTACTTCTCTCTGGTTTTGTCCAAAAAGCCTCCCTCTCCTGTTTAGGTCCCCTGTTTAAAGTGCATCTTTAAGACTGCTAGATATTAAGATAAATACCTTGACACTCTAACAAAAACTCCATTTTCTAAGTATTAATTCTAGCAGTATAATGCTGTTTGCCTCCTAAATCTATCCATCTATCTTTATAGCTTT